GTGTCAGACGATCCGGAAGGAGATTGCGGAGGCTGCGCTACCTTTAGAAAGTGAAAATCGGCAAGAATTCCGCTTTAAGCTAACCAATTAGGCCCATGGGCGCCCCTTAGGCCCATGCCGACCCCCACCGGCTGCTAGCTACTAGCTAGTAGCCACTATGCTATCTCTCTCCATTCCGAATGGTGAGAGTGAGGTGATACGATAAAAGAGCTGATATCTTTATGATAACGACGTGGAAATTCGTACAAACATGCGTTTTCTTCATTGCATGCATGTACAAGTTGGAGTCGATATGGAATCCTATTTAGGGCATTTTCGGCTGTTTTTCTGCTGCTTTTCTCCGCTAATCAGATACCTAGCCCTTTTTCGTTCCTATGTGGGTTCCGTTACCCACAATCTGTGGTCGCGGGCTTTGCCTTAAGCGATAGAGAAAGGGCGCGATCGCGACGACGTTTCTCGACTTGTTGGTTGTTTTCGTTTGTTCAGGACCTGTTTTCCGCCCGCATCCTCGACTCGTCAACCATTCGAGAGTGGAGAAGTTAGTAGCGGAACAACGCGCAACCACCCAGGCACGCCATAGGAATCGACAGGTCGCCAAGGTAGGTCGGATGGTCGACTCTTCAACGAGCGGCTATCCGCTTTACTCTCGCTGAATTTTTGAGTAAGCGAAACGATTTTGTCTACCATGCCTCATACAGCTGAGGCTACTATATAAAAGAGACCAAAAAAATATAAAAAGATAAAAAGACGGCGCGGAAACAACAAATGAACGTGGGCGCTGCTTTTAAGTAAAAGTCCTCATCTCCACAACAACAATTCTACTTCGCACAAGGAGTCATTTGAGACTATCAGCCCCTCCAAATGTCAGAATTACCGCAAATCTCGCCATGTATCCCCGCATACAATGTGGAACTGATACCTTTTCTCCGCAAGTTTCTGAAACTATTCGATCCCCTTATTCATCAGCAAGACCCAGTCTAGCCAGTACTGGTTCCCATTTAACTTGGCACTGTTCGGCTTGGGAGGAGCGTTTCGCACTTTCGTTAGTCCCTTTTGTTAGTTCCTGTCAACTTACACATCTTAGCATAGTAAGGCTTACAGATTCTTGTTGGGAACGGAGCTCCTGCTATTGCACAGCTTTACAGAAGCTTTCTGCACAGAAAACATCGGTCAGTACCGGAAATGCCGGGACCAGGGAATTGTTCCGTCAAATCGGACTGCACCCAAACTTGCGCTCTGAAGGTGAACTTCAGCTCCTGCAATATTGCAAGACGTCTTGACTCCTGCCCATTTCGGCAGCTAAGTGCATGTTCTAGTCTTTTTATCCACCAAAACGAGCACAAAGACCCACAAAATTAGGAGAAATGAAAGGCTCGTTGCCTAGGCGGGTAGTGACCAGCAAAATGAAGATCGTAGCCTCCTGACCAGTAGCTGGGCTAAGTCAGCAAATAGTGGACATAAGACATGTAGATATATACCTGAGAAGGGGCATGTGAAACGTCAAAGAATGTGATGGACTTCAGCTCTCTCACTTGCTGTATGAGTATCTTTTATATAAACCGTTTTCAGAAATATTCAAATTATCGCCACCAACAGACCATTCGACAGTTGTTTCACAGTTTGCTATACAGTAGCTGTAGCTAGTATGTATGTGCCGCGAAATTCTCACAGTTTATACATGCCATACTACGCTTTTATTGCATATGGAATTGTCAAACGACTGAAAGGCAAAGATGACACATAGCTATGGGTGTGCGTTGTCGCAGCCTAATATACATAAAATATTCAGTGCATGCAACAATGTGGCGCTCATTAGATTTAGTTTGCTAAGCGATTAAGCTTTCACTGCTCATCAACATGCACATTAAGAACACTACCCGCGTTTAAAAGAAACGTGGAATGCCTTTGCACATTTGATAGCCCTCTGCAGAGAGTGTACTTCTTTGGCCACTCGAATGTGCGGACTCCAGAAAGCGCGAGTTGCAACCATTCGGATATGCGTGGCACTTACTGCCTACACGACAACAATACATAGTGAATTACCGCCCCTTTGTCGCTCGCAGCATCGTACGACCATTTCATGCGCTTTTCGAGAATTGCCATGATGACGACTTCTTCTCCAATGACGACTTCTTGTCGTTGTGCTCGTGCTTGCGAAATGACATTGTCCCATTGTCTGCAGGTTTGTGCAGTAATACGTATAGTCAGCGGCTGCACACAGACGGTAGGCTATGGACTTGCCAGTGAGTCCGGAAAACCATTCAGAGGGGCTGCCGAACTCTTTTTTTCTGGTTTCTCTACGCAGGGTAACCGTAAAGGCATTTTCCTTTACTGGAGGTTTACTAGTGCTCACGTTTCTTACAATGTGCCATCGGGTGACTTGTGTACAACCTGGGATAGGCCCAGGTGTGTCTGACTTCTTCGAGTGAACACCACAGTGAACACCACACGGAGAGCAGAAACGATTTTATTAAGAAAAAAAACTACAACGAATAGGGCAACAATCAGTTAGTACAATTCAACCTACACGATAAAAGGAAGATCAGTCCAGCTCCTGGAGCTGGACCGGAGTAGGAGCAGGAGCTAGACCCGGGGCGAGATCCCGGGGAAGAGAGAGAAAGCGAGATTTTCTAGGTCCTCTAATTAGCGTGGGGTGGATGGGAATAGGCGGGCCTTCTTCCATTGCCTGGGGGAGAATATCAGTACTTTTGATTGTCCCGCTTCCAATCGACAGAGGGGTTACCGTAATCTTCACCATATCGACACATCGGGCGCAGGGGGTTCAACATGACCTCCTCTTCTTCGGGATCTTGCCAGTAGGTCGTCCCCTGCTCCTTTCCCTCTTCGACACTTGTCTTTCGGAAAAGGACATTGAGCAATCACTCATATAGAGTTTGGTGGCGATAGTGGGGTGTATTTTTTGGGAACGGAAGGGACTGTTTGAAGGGCAGACTCTGGCTCAGGTAATCCACTTTCCACAAAAAAAAAAATAAAAACCATTTTTGGAAAAAGAATTAGGTGCGCCTACTTGGAGCTCCTTTCCGTTAGGCCACTTCTAAAAGCCGTAGAAATGGCTGCAGGTAACTTAGTTAATACAAAGGTGAAGGTGTGAGTTACACCCAATGAAAAAAAGCGAAGTGTTCCCATCAGAAAACGTCCTAATTAAAGACTAAAGTGTTAAAGCGAGCAAATGATATGACTGTATCATATCGTTCGTATTACTCGTTTTCTACCACTTTTTGTCGCATGCGCGCTTCAACAAGAAGGCAGAACGGCTTTGACGGGGTGACACACTCATACCTGACACGCCCAACCGTTCGCAGCGAATTAGTGTACCTCTTCGTTTTCCGAATGATTTGTTCTGCAAATGCGTATGACCAGGCAGGGTGCTGAAGACAGGGTTATGACCCGTTTGCAATACAAAAGGCGGTTCAGTGGAAATTTTATTACTTATGTGAAGAGAGAGCGTAACGGCGTGGGACGAGTGTCTCCTACGCCACCAAAAAACGTTGAATGATCACCCAAACAAATCTACAGGTTTGCCCCGCCTCCACGAGAGTCGGAGAGGGAGCTCGACGCTGACATAGACATGATAAAGGGAGGGAGGTCTTGTCGACGATACTCCCGCCGGCGGCAATAGATCGGCGATAAATGTACAAAAATTTTATTTAATCGTTTCTTGGATGAGCTGGTTGTCCCATGTAGATGCGGCTGCGGCTCGTTGATGGGTGAAGACGGCTTGGAGGTGGCGGTGCGGCTTGTTGACTGATGTAGACGACTCGGAGGTGCAGGTAAAAGTTGTCGGCGGTGATTGAAGTTGCAAGAAGAAGTTGTTGACGGCGATTGAAGAAGCGATATTGGTGCTGTGATTTGTGCATTTCCACCACTGGCTCCGGACTACAACAGTCCTGACTTGGACGTTATGGAAAAAATTTTGCTACTGAAGGAAAGTCTGAATGGTAGAGCAGAGGCCTCAATAAAAGGAATAAGACTCCTTCCACAAAACTATGAGTGGATAATACAAACTCTGAAGGAAAACTACTGTAATCAGCCCACAAATAGATCGCAGGTAGTGCAGAGACTGTTCAATCTGAAGCCAGCAAACGAAACTGCGGATAGCTGCTCAGCCATCTTCGATCAGATTCAAATATTAGTCAATCAGATGGTATCCGCCGGTTATGATGTGCGGAAAACTTGCGACCCAATGTGGTGTGAAACGATTTTGGCCAAGTTCCCAAGAGAGATCGTGAAGCCTGTTCCTCATATCAGGCCAGACGATGCCTATGCAAACAATCGAAAATCTGATGGGTCAATCGAAGAAAGAAGTTGCCGCAAAGTGCTATGACTCGGGCACTCAGTCGAGCACAGATACGACCATGCAATCAAAGATGAGGTCATAACAATGAGGGACGATTACCCTTCACGGCATGATCCTAGCCAAAGGTGTATATTCTGCCAGAGTGTTAAACATATGTCGGTGACATGTAGAACTGTCACAGACCGATACAGTCGCAGAAGTATACTAAAGGAACAGAGAAGGTGCTGGAAGTGCTTCTCACCTAACCACAATAGTTATGACTGCGCCAAGCCAGGACTGCAGTCAATGTGGGCAAAAGCACCACATAACACTATGTTACAAAACGAGTAACAATCAAAGTGCATCCAATCAGAGGATGCCGTGGAACCATTCAGCAAGTACACCTCCCGATGAATTCAAACCACTCGAGACCATTTAATCAGCGCCACGATGAAACTCACAACACCGAAAATCCAAACATCACAAACGCTTTAATGAGCACCGAGAACAGAGCGTATGAGCACTGTGACAGTAATCGCGCTTTCACAAGTGGTAATGATGACAGCCGAAGGAAGTGTCTGGAACTACAGATCGGAGGCATATGAGAAGATTGTTTTTCTTTTGACACCGGAGCAAAACGCTCATCCAAGAGTACTTAGCCGTAAGACTGGGTCTTCCACGTGACGCTACTGAAGTCTGTACAATGTCGGGCATTGGAGGCCACATTGAGAACTTCGAAAGCCATAGAGTTCGAGTCAAAATCAGCACCGCTTTCGGAGAAGGGTTAGAGTTCGAGTTCCAGACAAAGCCGGTGATTACAAACGGTTTCTCAATGCGTGAACCTCACCTCCTTCAGATAGAGATTTCCTGAAAGGGAAAGGACATCTGCTTAGCTAACTCCAAGCTCCGAGGGGAGCATCTAACACCGCTCGTTCTAGTGGGCTTAGATTATTATCATGAGCTCGTAGAGAGTTACGCGAGCGGAACGAAAACTCCTTCCGGTCTGTACATATCAAAAACTATTTTTGGACCCGTGATATACGGCAAGGGAGAAATCCCACCTCAACATATGGAAACAAAAAAAGACGTTGCCTACGGACTAACTGCAATTTTCGAGCAGGCTAAAGAAGGCATGGTGCAAAACCAACAGCCAAACCCATCACGACATCTACCGAGACCATGTCAAAAAATCGGTGGACATTTCATCGTCAAGCAGAAGGCTGTGCCGAGAGGAAACCCTCAGCATGGTAAAGTGAAAGAGGTCGAGAAATTGAAAAATACCTCCATAAGACTGAAAGGAAGCAATCTCAACCATAGAATCTTTCACAGCCCTTTGAAGAAGCCGTGGGCAACAGTAAAATCGAGACCGAGCAATCAAACACGGTGCAAAACCGGACAATTAGAACAACAAAGAGCTGTGGCCAAAAAAACCCTCAACATAGCAAAATTTTTTCCATAACGTCCAAGTCAGGACTGTTGTGGACGAGAGCCTCAAAGATGGCCCAATATTCCGGAAATTCCTCCGCATTGCCATAAAATTTTCGGCAGAGTTGCTTGGGGGGAGTTTAATGGACCGAACTTGTCTGGCGTTATTTTCAGTTCTTTCAAGGTTCGCTAAATTTGAGGTAGCTTGTGAGTGGCTATTGTCGCTACCGCTGTTTGTTTCGACCTGAATTTGTTCCTGCTCAAGACTATTTTGGAGGTCAGAGCTTCGGATGGAACGTTTTGTAATATTAGGGATTTCTGGGAAATGTAGCCTAGTTTTACGCCCATTTTGTCCCTTATACATTTTGATTCATCATGCCGTGCTGTTAGCATAAAGATCAGTTCATCTGCGCTAGCGAGTTCTTTATGTAGTTGTGACTCATTCTCGATTTGTTCGATTTCTAGCATTATGTCCTTCTTATCGGACTTGTTTTTGCAATTTTGATACTCTTCTCTTATCTCATTATAGAGTTTTGTGAGATTCTCTCTCCCCTCTTTGATCTGGTTTATACCGCTTTCTAGCAGTGCGGTGCTCTCTCTGCACATTTCGTAGCTATCTTCATCTATTGTGGGATAGTCTACTTTTTTCGTGTACTCAGTGTATCTGGAGATCAGATTCTTCAGCGTCTTAGCGCTGTTGATGACTGGAACTTTGTGGAAGTGCAACGCCATTTTATGCGAGATTTCCGATATGAAAAATTAGACTTTTAGCGCCTATTGAATCGCAGAAGTCTTCTCCAGGTACGTAGTACGGGAGCGAAGTTTCCCTGGTTAGGGTTGAATCAGTTACGATTCTTAGTCTTTGTTAAGACCGTGAAAATGTGCTCTTGAAAGAGCTGTCTTCGATCCAGGCCCCAAAGATGTTACTCTTTGACGCGGGAAAGTTGGCTGTTGGGCCGATGCACCAAATGACCAGGCAGGGTGCTGAAGACATGGTTATGACCCGTTTGCAATACAAAAGGCGGTTCAGTGGAAATTTTATTACTTATGTGAAGAGAGAGCGTAACGGCGTGGGACGAGTGTCTCCTACGCCACCAAAAACGTTGAATGATCACCCAAACAAATCTACAGGTTTGCCCCGCCTCCACGAGAGTCGGAGAGGGAGCTCGACGCTGACATAGACATGATAGGGAGGGAGGTCGTCGTCGACAACAGTGTAGAGGAATGGCACACCGCAACCCAGCAAACGTGCGATTGCGGCTTCGTGTCACGTGTGCGTCCCACACATTCTGGCGCCATGGTAAAGTATTTAGCGTGCAGTGACTCTTCCCGGGTCGCCTCTATTCGTAGACCCGTCCGCACGGCGCGTGTCGCGCGCGGTCCCCTTGACACGCTGCCGGTTTCACTAGTGATGGGCGCTATTGAGAAGCAATCTCACTGATGCGGAGTATAGCTGTTGATAGGGTAGTCCATGAAGCCTAATACGTCCTACAAGTGCGAATTCATCTTAGGAAGACTGAGCGTGAAGGTACCTGCTCTTCTCCTGTAATATGTTCCTAGAAATCCCCATCATGGACAAAATGACCAACTTTGATTCGAAATTGGATGACTGAAATAAAAACCCTGGGCACCACAATATCGATAAGGAGCAACCTACACCGGCGGTTGCCAAGATTAGGGATGGCCGATCCTAACTTGTTTTCTTGAAGTACGCTCACTAGAGAAAGCGAACACGACCATGGATGACCGTTTGATCGTCCTAAGGGTACCTGTCTCATCAAGCCATTCTGTCGAAGTGCTATGCAATTCAGGGAGACGATTTTCACCAATATGATGGGTTTTGCCAAATTCATCTACTTTGACAACCACTGGAAGTCGTTGGTTCTATTAATTTGAACATTCAGATAGTGAGGTCGTGCGGTTTATTGGCCTGAACTCACATTAGCTGAGACTTTCTCGAGGGAATCAGTGAGTTTCAAAGATTGAGCGTGATGTCCCAGTTAGTCAAATAGCTGACCGAAATTAGGATGTCTCGCAGAACATGTCCTTCTTATCGAGTGATTATGAAATGTAATGATGTTTCAGAAGCAAGACCGCTCACAGAACTTTCGAAGAAAGTTGCCATCCACTTCACGCTGTTTTTGCGTATCCGAATCATTCCAATGCTTTTCGATGCCCATTCTTCATTTTTGTTGCGCTTCTTTATATTCAAAATGTGAAAGCTTTATAAGCCTGTGAAAACCGTTAAACTACATTGGTGGCCACTACTTCCAACCTTAACATTTCATTCCCTAGCATTCTCACAAGCTGTAACTATACAGTCGAGTCATTTCTACTAACATTTCATTCCCTAGCATTCTCACAAGCTGTAACTATACAGTCGAGTCATTTCTACTCAATTTCAACTTCGCGTCCTCGTCTCCTGCTCGCAATCTCTGTCGTGGACGCACAAAACCACGAATGGCAACATGCCAAAGGCAGCGCGCGCGACACGCGCCGTGCGGACGGGTCTAGGAATAGAGGCGACCCCTCCAAATATTATCGCTTTTTTTTCACATTTGAGGAGTAAACGCAAGATACACTCTCACTAAAAAAATGGTCGCTAGTCCTGACGCCACATTGCCAGCTGCTGGCCAGTCTTCGATAGAGAGGCTATTGCTTTCATTTCTTTGACTTTGCACTGTCGTCCTGTAAACAAATGGACATGAACAAGACGAGTTCCCCCTGAGTGGGCATCTCGTGGAGTTCGCTTGTGGGACGCAAGTCCCTTAGAGTTCGACTAATTCAAGGAATGCGATTTACCTTTCGCAGAATTATCGCTTGTGTAATCCTAGCACGTCCTAGTGTGAACGCTGAGGCATTGTTCACACTCTGCGGTCCAGCGTTTCTCTGAAACGCGGCGGTTCGGCGGAAAGCTTTCGATACATATCGAGTGGCGGTTGGGCGAAGAGGCCTGGCGGTTGGGCGAAAGGGTTTTGTTACGTATCGCCAAACCGCGACGTTTTTCGCACTCGACAGAGACCGCTAGGCTCATTCGCGGTGGCGTTTTTCGCCAGCGAAATCGATACACATCTACTGCTTTTCGCCCAACCGCCCAACCGCGGCGGTTGGACGGTTGGGCGGTTGGGCGATTCCCCGATCGATGACTATTTATTGCTTTTCTCCCAACCGCCGTTTCGTCAGGGCCTGGAGACTGTGAACAATGCCTGACGCCGCCGTTCGCCAGGTCGATATTTCCTACGGATGAAGGGGCGTGTCATGCAGCAGAAAATGTTTAGAAAGCTGTTTCTGAGAATCTTCAATACCCTTCTTCTTGTAAAAGAAGCAAGGAAGAGTCTCTGTTCACTGGTGGCGTAATGTGCTCAGGTCCCAGAACGAGATCATAAGATGATCATCGCACTGGGAAACTCGTTCGTCAGTTTCCCGGGGGTAGATTTATAAGTTGTAAGCGCATGGATTTGGTTCGCGTCGCAGTTCGTGGTAGAAATGCAAAACGTTCAGCTTCGCTGAGACTTGGCTGTGGGGCGCTCTCGGTCCTGTTCGCGCGATCTACTCGCTCGAGCGGTCCGACCGCGAAGTCTGAACGACTCCCGCGAGTCTGCATAATCGTTGCTCCCACAAACTGCAACAGCACTCATGGCTTCACTCTTTTTTGTGTATTGATATTTCAGTTTTCTATTCGTAGTCGTGGTAAGTGGTGTGAAGGTGGCCCATCACCGTCAACGTTCCTTGAGACTGTTTCTAGCGAAATTAAAGGACTGAAGGTATGTTCTTATGTCTAACCTGAGTGTAGAAATTATTCGAACGGGCGCTTACGTAGTGGAGGACCACACACAACCGCGCCCTGTTTCCCTTCCTCCAATCGAGATGAGATTAGATCGCATCCGAATTTCGCGACCGCTCGACTGCATTGTGCGACCGCAACCGGGGCACTTCACCGCCACATGTGCGCCGCCGCAACGGCACACTTTAAGCTGGCACTGTGTGAACCCGGCCCGGTTTCAATTCTGCCGTTGCGGCGGCGCGCCGCTAGGCGGTGGAGCGCTCCCGGTCCTGGCCGTGCGATCCAGTCAAGCGTTCCCATGGCGCTATCCAGTCGAGCGATCCGATCGCGCGGTCGGGAAGCCTGAACGCGGTTAAGTCTAATGAATACTATGCGGGACAATTTCTCGGCTTCTCTGGTCCTAGCCTAAGCCTTTTTGGGGAAGGGATACCGCGGCGTGGTCGAGTGATCTCCCTCCATCCCCAACTACGTCACCGCCTTTAAACGATACATCAATTATGTTAAGTTGTAGGAAAAAATCGGTGTTATTTGTGCTAACAACAACGATAGGAAGCGGAAATGGAGACTTCACACGCAGATGACACATCCGCTTTCCGCAGCTCCCAAGCTTTTAAGGTGACTGCTAACTGTGCGGA